GCCTCGGGCAACGAGTGTTTATCGTTCGACGCCGCCACTGCCGGCAAATTATTTGACAATATGTCGAATAATTTGATTCATAAGCTCACGTCAGCATCTCGGATTAGAATTAATATGTTATTTCCGCTGTTAGCACGGTTTAAACGTTAACTACATGACGTAGTTTCTTTAATTTAAGAGGGAGACCTGTATTCGTGACTTAGTAATATTAGTTAGACAATGATATAAAATCCAAGCTTGAATTTTGTTTAGCAATGTGAAAATAATCTTTAAAACCCAGAGTGTTCTTACAATATAAATGTATCCTGAAAGGAGGTAGATGTTGGTATACATAAACACGCATACCGCTTTCTTGGATACTCTTAGAATACACAGACCGTTACGTTAATTATGCTCTGTATATAGCTGCGTTTTAATTAAGTTTAATCAAACTTCAATTATTTGCAACTCTATATATGGTTGCATTTTGATTGAGTTGAAATGAAATTGAAATACTCCATTGGGTTGCGTTTAATTGAGTTTTATCAAATGTATTTTAAATAAATTTAGGTTCTCTATTGACAGCAATCGAAGTATATGTGTGTTCTAATTATATGAAGGATTATGCTTAGTTTCTTTTATTATGTACATAATACCAACAGCTTAAGAATAAGTGTTTAGCAGTACCTGAATATGTTACATATTTGCACGAAAATTGAGGTAGGGTTATCATGCTTGAATACTGTTTAAACAAATTCAAATTTTCAATGGGACTTTCGGGTATGGATTTGTCTCATATTTTAACAACTCATTTCCGGGACGCTTACCTGCTAATTCAAATTCAAATGAGAATTTTGATTTGTTGGAAAATAAGCAAGCCGGCTGGAAATAATTAGGCAATTTGTTTATAAAAATCCCCCAAAATTATTACAAAAATATGTATCAGATCTCATCCAAACTCACTTACAAGCCCTGTGCACCCAAGAATTAATTATATACTTAACGCAAAAATCACGAATAAGCTAATCAAAAATCGTATAACATGTGGGTGTTTGAAAGTCGCTTCATTTAATAAATATACATTAGAAAAGAATTGCCTATAAACATGGGTATCATTTGCATTTTCCATATGCAGATTTGTTCTTGTAACAAAATGTGTTTCAAGTGTGTGTCGGTAATAACAATAAAATAATAAAGGTACTGGGAAATGAGGTTTAAGAATATTTATTTTCATAACAAAAACGAGTCTCCAAGAGACTTACTAGTAGGAACAAGTTGAGTGTCACAGAATGAAGATGTATTGAATATCCACAAATCCCCTTGAAACATAAATTTACACAAGACATACACAAGTTTTCTTCTCTTTTTGATAAAATGTACACAACTCAGATATTTCCATTTTTTAAAATTAGTATATAAGATATAATGAGGCATTCTTTTGCTGATTGACCGTCTGTGGTTTTGAATAATTCAGTTTTACACAGTTTAGACACGCATTTATTTGTCGCCGATGTTCTTGAAGACAATGTTTATCACATTATAGAGTACTTTCGATGATGTCACAGTCAATGTTGAAAGCGAGATTTAATTAATGAATAATGATGTATTAAAACATCATTTTATGGAAAAGCACACAATTACTCAGATTTCCATTTTCGATTTTTACAATGAAAATATAACAGTTTGTGAATCAAGGCCCAACAATCGATGCTCGTTGTCAAATATATACGCTTTTATATAGGTGTATTCGCCGAATTACTGGATTTCAGACAAAAATAGTCATTTGAGTTGAATTGAAATTGACATTTTTTGCGGCGTAATGAGAGTCAAATTGAAAGGGATCTCCAGAACTCCCACACACAAAGCATGACAATCAAAATGAAACTGTTTTACATAAATTCACAATGTATCTTCTTGTTAATTAAATTACTTTCTTCCTGTTTTCATCCCGATTTCAATTACTCGCATTGCAATGTTCTACAGACAATTAACTTGCTACCATCGTTTATGTCCATTTCATTAATGAATTACCCCATTATTCTCTATCAAATGCGACTGCTCTGACGACAGTATACCCGTAATTGGCTTATAATGACGAGAATTGTATCTCCGTGTTATCATCCTTAAATAAAACGAATGACTCGCATGTTGTGCGCTGACTGTTATTTCGGATCGTAGCTGCACTGCATACGCGATAAAAGGTGTTTGTACTTATACATGCAATGAGACGTTCAATTATTAGCTTGTTCAATGTCTTATAAATTCTAATACAAATGGACTGCCTCAATTTCCATTGTTGACTTGACATGGATAACAACGTCAACTTGAAGAATAGGTATTCCATGTAGAGTGGTGCGGTCAATTATCCAGTGATATGAAGCAGCATATATATATATATATATATATATATATATATATATATATATATATATATATATATATATATATATATATATATATATATATATATATATATTAACAGAATAAATATTATTATTATTATTGGGGAGGAAAAGATTAGCAAGCTGTGAAATCGTCTGTAAATCACATTTCATGACAAAATGTCGAGGGCGTATAATCTACCAGTTGAATTGTGAAATGTTTGTCTGGGCACGTCATCGAATCTTGTACATATGTTCAATTTTTGAAATACTTTGAAAATCATGAAAACCAACTCTCTATTCTTCTCAAAAACAAACAAATACGTACAAATACAAATATATAATGCGTGTATCACGCCCCCTCAAACATTGCTTATAAAATTTACTTATACTTGACCAAGGATACCAAAGAAATTGAAAACGACAATCCTGGATATCCATCTCAAAAAAGCGGCTCACGCACAAAAATATACTCTACCTGAATATAATATACTCATATATAAAATCTGTGTGACTTTTTGTATGTCTCGTGTGTCTCGTGGAGGAACGCTCTTCATATCACCGATCTTCACACGTACGTGTGCATTATGTATACAAAGCTGGATAGAACATCAACACATCAAACACCAACGCCAAAACTGCGAACGAGGTTGCAAGTTTCAGACCCTCTCTGCAACTCAGGAGAATACATAAAATACACAGGATTAATAAGGACACTTATTGAAGAGTGTAGTGACAATAACCTTTCTTTAAATAATTAGATTTTTTAAAATATCTATATTCAAAACAGAAACCAGGTAAAAAGGCGGGATAGAGAGAGAGTGAAAATTTTACAAATTTTGATGTTACACTAAATGAAATTATTTTGAACCAGTATAGTGCAGTAAAGAAATAGATATTAACACTTATAGAAAATACAATGTTATGCAATAAGATCCAAGATTTAGTGGTACCAAAAAAGTGAAAAAAATATTTTTTAATTTAGAAAAACCAACTGTGAAAGAAAAACCATTAAGCATTTTGCTCAATAACGAATTACTTTAACAGATGTGCATTTGCTTGCAGTGGTAAAAGCTTCGCCGTTGTTTCAAATTCGAATCCCGTATTTTGTGTTTATATGCACGTAATGTAATTAATGATACTTGTAATTAATACATCTACTTGCTACAATTTGAATAACAAAAGATGAAGCTTTACAAAGCACTGAAACTCATCACTAAACATACGTCACCTTATTGTCATGGTCTACTACATGAATTCTATTTGCGTGTTTGTTGCATGACATTAGAGATGATATACGCTATGCTAGTAATATTTAGGTTTAACTCATTTAAATAAACAATGTCAAACACGCTGAAACAAACAAATTAAAATTGGTATAATACGATTTCTCTCATATTATATATCATTATTTTGCTTATTTTTGTATTATTAATGCAGTTCCAAGAAGTTGAATTGTGTGCATGTGTTATAAATATTTCAAAAACGAAAACGCAAAGATAATGTAATACCAGTGAGTGTGTTATTTCTTGAAAAAGAAATGTGTTCCCATAATATCAAAACTAAAACTTGATGGAATGAATTATATACCACATTATGATTTAGACTGGAAGACTAATTAGAACATTTTATATAACACCGCCGTAGATGTACCAATATATAAATATCGGACACTTGTTTTTGCAATGCACAGCATTGCGCAGTTGTTTTGGAAGGCTTTTAAATATTGGCAATAATCTATTACCACTCTCGTGAAAACACTATAGTCTTGGTCCATACACACTAAGTATCAGTTTTCGCCACTTTCTCATGATAGGAACATATTGGTTATGTTGCAATTACTATAAATATGTTAAAAGTACTTAAAATGAACTTCATTGAGAAACCATTTTCACCGATAAATGATTCGAAATGAAATGGCGACCTTGTCTCGTAACATTGAAATTGCTGCCTCTTAGATATTGTGATACTTTTGTCAGTGTATGGATGTGCAAATTTGTTATGTAACGTTCTGTAAAGTATTCAATGAATAAAAGAACACATGTTGATGCATCTTGTCGCATCATGCCGATTTAGTTCTTTAATTATAACTAGCGTCATTGTTGACGTATCTTGTTAAGATATTGTCGATTAACATTAGAGTACATCGAAGATAGTAGGCAACAATGGAATGAAGCCGCAAAACTCAATATATCGGCATATGGCTCCTTACATAGCTGTTAGCGACGACATACTAATTACACAGCTCCAAGCATAAAAACCCATTTGCTTATTTTAGTATATACGCACGGGGATTGGGTGGGCGTTTCTTGAAATATAATTTGCACGATACATCATACACAAAGGTGTATTGCTGGAAAGTACTTGAGATGGTAGTATTAAATGCGTTACGTTTTTTTAAATATCAAGAAGCTAATTATGGCTTTCAGTGACTCTGGTTGAAATTTATTTATGTACTGTACGCTTTCTTTGGAGATGACATTTGTATTGCAAACAGATTGACATTCTCTGTAAACCCTCCCAGGACCCCCCACGACGTACTGACGTGTACTTACTTAAGGAAGTCCATTATACGAACTGTGTGGCATATTTCATAAAACCAACAACAATCAACTTATACTGTACTGTTTTTCTTTACAGTGCCTTAAGTGGAGACATAATGTTGTATCGAGTCGCCTTCGTGTTTTTGGCAATGGTTTGCCAACTTGACACGCTCAACGCCAGGCAATTGGTGAACTACAACGAGGATGACGTAGCGCCCACCATGATGGAAATACTGATGCAAGTGAACAAATTACAAGAGAAAATTGCATTGCTTTTCCGTCAGATTATGAGTCCGCAAGTCGATCAAACTGGTGATGAATACGGCGATGACATGTTGGAGCCGCCACTTATAAAAGACTACTCCGGAATAAGCAGGGTACAAGGTGTCCTCCGAGAGGAACTTCTGGAACAACTCCAGAACAAATACAGCTTGGGAGAGGGACAGTCTGATAATCAAGGGGCTTATGCAGAAGACCAATACAGAGACGGTGAAATAAATACAGCCAAGCGGTCTGAAGAAGGAAGAAGATCGCGAATAGCTCGATTACTCCGTCATATACTTGAAGATGCACAGCAACAGGCTGAAGTACAGGGACTACGTGCGGGGAGATAGAAACAATGTAAATATCAGAAGTGTGTGTTTGGGAATTTACCAATACGTCTTAGCTACCAAGAAATAAAAGCATTGCGAAACGCCATTTTTACAGGATTTCTTTATTTTATGATGAAAATACAGTATTTTGTTAAATCTGTCGAAATATAAACACACGTACTACAATGTATATATATATGGTTAGTAATATGTTTAGATATTATTCATAGTTTTCGTTAGAAATGTCGCAGCAACAGCAAGGTATATGTGTGTACTTAAATGTATGTATCTTGCTTCTGAAGAAGCGGCTCTGCAACACTATCGAGCACCGGGAGTCGTTAAGCATGTTTGATAGCTTGACGCTACGGGGTGTACTAATGTCAGCGTGTCTACTGCGATTATTTCCCTTGTCATTAACACATAATAAGTTAAAGTGTTAGTATTTAGTGTTTTCGTGTTCTTTTGTTTTTCTGTACGTGTGATGACTTTGTGCCAATAAAGCTCGTCAATGTGGAGATCCCTTATTACATCATATGTTCGCTCATCTTACTTCGAAATTTTTAGCGGAAACTTCATCGTTGATATGGCTGGCGCTGTATCGGCAATGAATTGACACAGTCGCAATGAATATAGTGTAATATGTAATGTTTATTTTGATATAAATTATAGAGGAATTCTCACGAAAAGAAGAAATAGTATTTGCTCTCGTCTAAGCTAATAGGAATATTACTTCACTGCTACAATAGTTTCTGCTTCAAATTCTTTTGGTATCCTCTCATAACACCTCCCTATTGTAGCACAGGAATCGACAACGCTAGGTGTCATCTAATGTCCACTTCCAAAATGAAAAGTGCATACTTTTCAACTAAAAGACAAGAAGAAACCCTAAAACAGACCGCAAATGAGCAAAGGCAGATGACAATTGTATTTCAGTAAGAAAATCGCTTCCTCCCCGTGAGCACACACATGTTATCGTCGTTCTTGTAAGAACTGGTGACAGTATTGAATTGACATTGCAATATCCTAAAGCACTCTGATTACATTTCAGTTTCGCTCACAAAACACCCCCAACTTACGTCATACCCTTATCTCATATTTACAGACAATTTAACAATTTTTTCTATCGCCAACTTTTAGTTATGTATGTATTTTTACATATTACATTCCCATTTTCTCTACTGCGCGCATAGTACTTTATTCATGTGGGATTGTGTAGGTTCGTCTGTGTTCAAACGGGCAGAGTTGAAGGCAGTGCAACCTACAGCTGCATTAGCGACGATCGACAATATGTCATTATATCTGGTTTCTCATTGAAGGATATAGCAATGAGCTATCATAAAACATATATGACCAAGAAAACCACAGTGTTACCATGGTTGATAAACTAGTGAACGAAAAAAACAAAGAGATATTGTAGCTGATATCCAAGTAATCGAGAATACAAATGAGACGTCGCAGCTGAAATTAAGAGATCGAGAATATAAATGAGATATCGTGACTCGTGTGATCGGAAATACCGATATGATATTGTTGCTGGTACACAAGCGATCGGGAATATCTCACTGCGATATAAAGAGATCGAGAATACCAATGAGATATCGTAGATGATATAAAAAGATCGAGAATACCAATGAGATATCGTAGATGATATAGAGATCGAGAATACCAATGAGATATCGTAGATGATATAGAGATCGAGAATACCAATTAGATATCGTAGACGATATAAAGAGATAGAGAATACCAATTAGATATCGTAGATGATATAGAGATCTAGAATACCAATGAGATATCATAGATGATATGAAGAGATCGAGAATACCAATTAGATATCGTAGATGATATAAAGAGATAGAGAATACCAATTAGATATCGTAGATGATATAGAGATCGAGAATACCAATGAGATATCGTAGATGATATAGAGATCTAGAATACCAATGAGATATCATAGATGATATGAAGAGATCGAGAATACCAATTAGATATCGTAGATGATATAAAGAGATAGAGAATACCAATTAGATATCGTAGATGATATAGAGATCGAGAATACCAATGAGATATCATAGATGATATGAAGAGATCGACAATACCAATGAGATATCGTAGCTGTTATAAAAAGATCGAGAATACCAATGAGATATCGTAGATGATATAAAGAGATCAAGAATACTAATGAGATATCGTTGATGATATAAAGAGATCGAGAATACCAATTAGATATCGTAGATGATATAAAGAGATAGAGAATACCAATTAGATATCGTAGATGATATAGAGATCGAGAATACCAATTAGATATCGTAGATGATATGAAGAGATCGAGAATACCAATTAGATATCGTAGATGATATAAAGAGATAGAGAATACCAATTAGATATCGTAGATGATATAGAGATCGAGAATACCAATGAGATATCATAGATAATATGAAGAGATCGACAATTCCAATGAGATATCGTAGCTGTTATAAAAAAATCGAGAATACCAATGAGATATCGTAGATGATATAAAGAGATAGAGAATACCAATGAGATATCGTAGATGATATAGAGATCAAGAATACTAATGAGATATCGTAGATGATATAAAGAGATCAAGAATACTAATGAGATATCGTAGATGATATAGAGATAGAGAATACCAATTAGATGTCGTAGATGATATAGAGATCGAGAATACCAATGAGATATCGTAGATGATATAGAGATCGAGAATACCAATGAGATATCGTAGCTGATATAAAAAGATCGGGAATATCAATGAGATATTGCAGATGCCAGTGATATACAATCGATCGGAAATACTAATGAGATATAGATGACACAAAATCTTGTAAAATTGAGCTTATTTATTATTATCATACATCTGTCACCGTAGCGGCATAAGTTACAGCGTGCCGTAATTTTGTGGTATTTTACGGGGTATTTTCATCTTATCATATAAAGAAATGCGAATTCCAAATATGGAATGATTACGCGCGTAAGCGTCCTAATAATAAAAACAAACATGGCTGCCACTAGGGTTTGACCGGACTCCACATAAAGAATTTCGCTGATTCTGTTCTAAACTTTTTGGATTTCGGTATTTCCATGATGTATCCTTGGAAAGCAAAGATGTACTCAGACAGTACGCCTCGCATCGAACTCCGCTGCGCGTCGGTCGATACTTCAGCTGCACTGTCTTCGTAAATATATTGAGGTATCCTCGTAATAACCTCATATTATTATATTTATACTAATATTAATATTTTAGTTTGATTTAAAATACAAGAAGTGTAATAAAGATTACTTAAAACTATCGCTATTTGATTTGCATCTAAGCAAATAGAAAACCATTTTATTCTAATATAGTATGTGTGTGTTTCCTACTAGATGCGTAGGTAACACCGGTAGAGGATTAGATAGAACTTTTAGTTTAAATGAAAATAACTATTTTGGCATTCAAATTAATTTCTGTTGTCATTCAACTCTCAGATGCTAATAAAATAGTATTTATCAAATATACATTTTCTGATTGATAGCCAGTAGAGATGTTTTCTTGCACACCCACCCACATAAACAAATGAATCACAGGCGGCGACGTTAAAAACCGACCGACTCATCAACGGCTTACTCAAAAGCAATATTGCAATGTGGGTGGTTAGAGTGGGGGAGAGGGTCATTAATTAGTTCTTAATGAAGTTCTGTAATTGAAACGTAGGGTGGACATAAAACAATTGTGGAAGAAGAGAAACAAAATAAATGTTGCATGTAAAAGAATTGAGAAAATAAGAATAAGAACTCGTAAAAGGCACAATATCCACAACATGTTTGTACACCCACAAGTTTTCAAAAGGGAACCTTTAAAGATAATCGTAGAAATGGGAAACGGCTAATATAATTTATTCCCCAAAACGGAGATTCGGGCCGAATTGTAGATTGTATGGCATCTTCTGTCAATAATGCAACATTTGAATTCGGCGCGAAGTGCTTAATGGGTGATTTTAATTAACGTGGCATTGAGATGTTCATTTCCTACGACTCATAAATTTATCCAATCGTATATTTGAAGTAAAGCTGAAACATGCTCCTTTTTTTAAATCTCAGACAAATTGCCCGTGTGTAATTAGACAAACGTGCAAACTGTATCTCATAATAGCACAAACTAAGTTTCAAAACATGCCCGTTAATATTGAAACGTTGCGTTCAAACTGCATTTTAACATATTTCTCCCAGTGGGGAACTTTCGTTTTCTCATAGCCGAGTGAATTATAAATGTTAAGCGAAGTAAGTACGTTGACAGTGTACGTGAAAGTAGGACAAAGACATACGCGCGGTTCTCGTCAGATATATATGTGTGATGACACGCCCCGCACAGTGTGCGTTCCAAGTCACATGGGTAGTGCGTACGTGCAGGGGTCATCGTTTGAATGTCAAGTAGTCTAAACGCATCAGCCCATCAAGACTCGACAGAAGTAATTACCTACGATGTAAACATCATTACATGGAAACGTCTCAAACAAATGTATGTCACTCTGTTCGCGGCACCGGGAAGGTCGATTTAACGTACAGACAGGGTAAATATATTGCATCCATTATACCAGTTTTCTGACTGTCTCTGTTATCGGACAGTGGTCTGCACTTCGCCAATAAAACCGCTCAGTATCAGTACGCCATTTTTTTACTAGTAGACTTCACAGACAGCTCCTTAGCACGGGCGTGAACGTTTAGAACGGGCTAAGAAATACTAAGTTACTTAGAAGTACGGATTAAATCTAGCTCGTTTTTGAGAACCTGGTCCAGATCCTTATCACGGGCTAAAGGAGTGTGTGTGAACGTTTAGTTCGGGCTAAGCGCCCAAAACGCCATTGTATCAAATGTTCATTTGGAAGTTTTACTATTTTATTCCCAACTATTCATTTAGGTTTGCTTTCTGAATTTGTTTTAGTATGGTTTTATAACCGTAGCATATATACCTTCGTAGTTACTGTACTAGTAAGCATATATAAACTAACTGAAGATGTTTGTATATTTTT